CCCCCCCCGCTAAGAAATGAAAACAGAGCTGGCGATACGCTCACTAATGAGACGGTAAAGCAAAATAGTCTTTAACTTCCCCAGCCCTAACAAAGAGACGATTATACTGGCCGACAGCTCCGCAAGAGACGTTTCCAGGCACCTTCGTGAGAATAATGTAATGCCTCTTAATTTTTATCAGGCGTGTCTTTATTATTGTTTAGATACTGGATTCTTATCAGCCTTCCCGAAGTGGAGCAAATGTGGGCAAGTCTCATTCCACAGCAATCTAAGGCCTTTTTCAATTACAAGTACTCTTTTTTGCAGGTTTTTTTTTTTCCCACTGACTTCATCCTTGGATTGCTCTGAAGAATGATCTTGAAATAAAACCGAATACTGCATTATTAGCCACTTTTTATTTTAATTAAAGTTCAGTTTATGTTTTTTGTTATAACCAGAGTTTCTCTGCAAGTATGCTTTGAGGATTAAATTTTGATCCTCAGAAGCACGTGCTTATAGTAATCTTCAGGATTAAGATTAAATTAATCAGTAATCTAATTGCTGTGTGGTGAAACCGAGGCAAAGAGATTGTGATTTGGTCAGTGTCAAATACCATGTAATGACAGAGTCCGAATTAGCTCCACCAACAGTGCCACAAAGCATTGTCCGCTACAATCATTAATGTAAAAGCCATACTCATCTATGCCTCACCAGTCTTAATTCTCTAAATGACTCTGTACAGGTAGATCATGTGTTCACACGCAAGTTTATTGACTTCCCTGGAGCCTAGAACCCAAGAAAAGTGCAGGTTCCATGTATTTCTTCAAGATTTCCTGGCCATCCTATCTATGTACTTATCAGTATCTTTCTGTCTGAGCTGTATGTAGACTTGTGCATTCATTTCCATAGGTATCTAGTATAACACTTTATTGACAACAAAATGTCTGTGTTATTTTCAATTATCTTTTATAATACAAATCATAATACATAAAACCTTCTTTTAGAATATAAATATCTTTCTTACTAAGTCGTTTGTCTTTAGAATACTCCCACTGTGTCATGGTCTAAATTCATTCTGGCATCAGTTTCTATGACACTGGATAAGAGAGGTCTGTTTTCCTGAAAAGAAAGATGATATTAGTTCCAACAAAGGTGTAAAAGAGCTTCATTATTTTACTAAGATTGAGTTGAGAGACAATTAAATGCCATAATCTGAGGAACAACCAAATGGAACTTTATGAGTGAGATAATAAATTTCTACCTTAGAAAGAATATACATCTGAATCACAGCCAGAATACTTAATGGTTTTGGGTTTTAAGCTCTTTAACCGAGTTTCTCTGCATTTCCACCACTCTACCAATAACAGTGCAGGCATTAAGCATCTCCCATCACAATGTCTTTCCCACCTGCTGCCTGTACGTATTCCTGAGACCCTTCTGGTTTTTGTGACCCAACAGTTACACAAAACACCAAATCAATTCAGTCTGAAGAGAACCAAGCAGAAAAAAACAAGTTTTTTAAACACAATTCTGTTCCCTGAGCTGGTTTACTGCTCAGTCCTACAGTTCTGAGAGCAGCATGGACCAAAGGACAAGCAATGGCAGCAAAGATACAAGCAGCGTGGGAGAAGTTTGTTAGCCTGATCCTCAGACCCAATGTACACGTAGTGTCAGGAGGGCGACTGGGTACTGATGTGGCTTGTGGCACAGATGACATACTAAGTGACCCTGATAATTGCAAAGAGATGTCCTGAGATCACACTGTCATTAATTTTACTGTTATTGATATGTTATGACTCTTAACAATTAGTAAAAGAAATGAATCATCCACGAACAACAGGCAGGCAAATTCACATGCAGCACATGGCATACATTAATAGTTCTGCAATATCGGGTCACATTATCAAAAGAAAACAGTTCACCTTATATTGCTTCCACAAATTTTAATAACTCCTGGATTTTTTTAGTGTTTAGGGCATTCTCACCACATTAGACTTAAATACTCTAAATGCACTAAAGCATATACAATACATTTTCTTTTGACTGTGTTTATATTTCTGTGCATAAATCTGCACATCACTTACTGCCTTTTAGTCTTGTGTTTATGACGGGTTTTTTGCCATTAGCAATCCATTTCAAATAGCCCTCTAAGAGAAGGGCTACAAAGAATCAGAAGTTTTGTCCCATTTCCCCAGCACTCGGGACTGCTCAGTGTTGTTTCAGAAACAGTATTCCAGGAATGAGTTTCCTCTGGATTTCATAAAGTGTTCTTATTACTCAGGAACACAATTTAGAACCTACAGCTTCTGCCTGCTTCATTATTTTTGGTCTGTGACTTTTCATTTTAAGTTGTTATATTTAGATTGGGAACTATAATGGAGTCGTAAGCTTCTTTAAAAATAGAATTCCTTGATAAATAAATACTTAACAACTGTAATCTCTGTCATATGACCACATTCTTAAAGCTCAATTCAACACAGTCCATTTTTAAAAGATAGTACATCTGGACCCTGGGGAAAAAAATAGCAGTTATTTCTAGTCATCTGATCTCATACCAAATCTACACCGAGAAGGGCACTGTTTAGGGAAAGAGAACTCCAGAAGTGACATCTTGCTGGTTCTCTGGCCCAGTGCCAGCCCAGGCCAGGCTGGTTGTGACCATAACAACTGCACAGGCTGCTCGATGGATGACAGCACCATTGCGGAGCAGGCCTTCTGTTTCGGTTAGGATGGAGTAATGCTTGCTGCAGAATTGAGAGTGGTCCGTAGTCTTGATTAGAAATTCAGTTAACATTTTCAAAGATGCCCAGAACTCATACTGGTCTCCTACAGAGCCTTTGATAACTCCACTAATTGGGACTACGATGAAGCGTCAAGTCGTCCTTCAAGTCAGCAGAGTTCCAAGAGCTTTGTATCAAATGCAGAGGGCTCTGGAGACCCCTAGTCTGACAGCCTCCATCAAAACCATTTCAGTAACCAAAGCATGTAAAAAGTCAGGGAAAAAAGTAAGAAAAATCACGTTGGCATAGGAACAAAAAAAGGATATTCTGAAATTTCCTTTCAAATAGAAATGAGTTTTGCACTTAGTGCAAAACCATGAATTCTGCAATTTTTATTTTGGGAGCTCTGAAACAAAAGACATATTGTGACAGTGTCAGATGTTTAGTTTTAAGTTATGGTTTTCCTCTTAATATTCTAGTTTTAACTATGAATAAGATATTTTGATAACTTTCTCTTGAAAACGTAAATGAAATGATGTCTTCCTACCAGAAGTTACATTTTATCAAATCCATGTTTTGACAAAAAATGGCTCCAGCTGAAATCTCTTTACCAGATCTTCCAGCAAAGTGAAAAATCACTAACATCTATTGACTCTGAAACACTGAAGATCTGTCTCAAATTTCTTATCACAAAATGCTTAAAAGGAAAATGTTCAAGAAAGAAGGCCTCTATAAACATTTTGTTAGCCAATTAATTGAATTAAGTCCTTTTAATAGAACTTCAAATTAAAAACCCATACATTGGCATAGAACTATAAAACCCCCATTTACTTCACAATTTATGATATTTTTTATTTACTCTAAATAAAGATAGCTGTTATCTTACGCTTTTTACTGACCTGGAGTTCTCCTGGCAACCTAGCATTCTCCTTAGGCCTCCTTTCTTAGTTTTTCTTTGCAGAACTTACACACAAGCATGATACTACTAAGCCTTGATTTGTTAATATTGCAAAGAAATATTTATTACAAAAACACTGCAATGGAATTAAAACCAAAATAGCTGATTTATTCTACAAGTCAAAGGCTTTCCAAAAGTTTAAATTCATGTAATTCAAATCTAAAAGCAAGTTTGACTTGCTGTTGAAGCCCAGTTCCCTAAAGTAATTCTTTTTGCACTAAAGGATGTTGCTTACAACACTAGGAAATAAAAATGTAATAGCTCCTGATTTTGATTAAATTTTAAGGTGAAGCTACTATGAGGATTTGATAGCAGAAGCAGCTCTTTTTTGCTGTACCACTAATGTAAGGCAAAATTTAAAAACCACAGCAACCAAGTCATAATAAACATAAATAATGCATAAACTATCCTTACTACAAGGTCTAGGAAACCCATTACTTCTTACTCACACTTTAAAAGGAGAGGTTAAGAGCACATATGTAGTTTGGTAAGCACAGCAGTTCACAAGATTAATTGAGTGGACAGACACAAGCATTACATCAAAGCAATGTCATTCAGAATCTGAGAAACAAGCCCTCGAGGTAAAGGAAGGGAGGAGAACTATGTGGAGATTTCTCTTATAGTAAGTACAACCAAATACACAACCCCATGAGAGAAATGAGAGCAGAAGAGGCTGTATTTAGGAGGGGGAAGCTGGAAAAAGGTAGCAAAAATCCACCACAGCACATCCTGGGAGTCCTGCAGCACCTTCCCCCTGCACCTCTACAGTCCTCCCTGCTTGGTCAAGTAGCAAAACAAGTGCTGTTAATTGACAGGCCTTTTATGCAACATCCCTACATTGGTATTAGCAGCTCAGTTAAAATATCAGAGCTATTTTATTTATCACAGCTGAGCTGGGTTTCCTCTCCCTAACCACAACCGCTTGTTGGTGCCTGACTAGGGTTCCTCCTTGCAGTATAAACAAGGAAGAGTAGGGAGGGGTGGGGGGTGATGCTGTGAAAGTAAAAGGGAAAAAGATGAGGAAAAAATG